GTACCGCGGATTGAACTCGGGTCCTTGCACTTGCAAGGCAGGGCAGGCGGCAGAACCACTGATCTAAATCCCTGGCCCCGATATATATGTGTGTGTGTGTGTGTGTTGACCACAGCGCCTGTCTGGCAAATGCAAGGCTCCAAATTCGATTCCCAGTCATACATACATACACATACATACATATACATGTGTATTTATATGTTGAGGTGCTCCTTTCACCTGTAAAATGTGCCATTATCTTTTTTTCTTTTATTGAGTTTATTGGTACATTTTAGGTATACAGTACAGTTATTCATTATTGGGATCATGTACCTTTATATGACAGGTCTTGGTTCTCATTTTTTCCCCTTGTCCCTGCCCTCCCTTCACCCCGGGGCCATTATCTTTTTATGAATAGGCCATCTCTTCTCCCAAAGACCGAAATGGAACTTCCTATAGATTCACAAATTCCATAGGTTTCCACCTGCTCAAAAAGAAAAAAATTCTCAGCTCCCAAAAATACTCATTCTTTGAATGCCCACATTCCCTTGTGTTTTTCTTCAAGACAAATCTTTATTCATGTCTCTTAACTGACAAGTCCTGAAAATCCTTTTTCTACTACAGGAGTCAGCGAATTTATTCTGAGGGTAGGGTAAATTGAGATTCTTCACCTCCTCTTTTGGAAACCTCAGATTCCCCTTCCGGCCAGGGACACTCCCTCAGACAGAGATCCAAGTCTCACGGGTCAAGAACGCCTGGTCCCCGGCCTAGAATGTTTGGTAGATTCCCAGCACAGGCTAGGCACTTTCTGGAAATGCTTTTTCTGTTCCTATCCGATTCCAGGAGGCCCACAGCTTTCTGCAGACTACGGGATGGCAGCCAGGGGCGCGGGGTGGGCTCCGGTTGAAGAGTAGGAAGCGTCTTGCAGACCACCTTGTTCCTTTGCCTCAGCTCTGCAGTCTGGGCACTCAGAGTAACTTGCCCGCCCATCGATCGGTCCTCGGCGCTCCCCCGCCAGAAGCCGAGCACGGTCACACCGCTTCCAGGGGGCCCGGGGGCGCTGAGGCGCCGTCCCAGGCGGGGGGTGGTGGAAGAGTAGGAAGCGTCTTGCAGACCACCTTGTTCCTTTGCCTCAGCTCTGCAGTCTGGGCACTCAGAGTAACTTGCCCGCCCATCGATCGGTCCTCGGCGCTCCCCCGCCAGAAGCCAGAAG